CAGAGGGACCTTGACACGCTTGTGAGGTGGGCTGATGCCAACCTCATGAGGTTTAACCATGCCAAGTGCAAAGTCCTACACCTGGGTTGGAGCAATCCCAGGCACAGCTACAGGCTGGGCAGAGAAGAGATTCAGAGCAGCCCTGTGGAGAAGGACTTGGGGGTGTTGGTTGATGAGAAAATGAACATGAGTCGGCAGTGTGCACTTGCAGCCCAGAAAGCCAACTGTATCCTGGGCTGAATCAAAAGCAGCGTGACCAGCAGGTCGAAGGAGGTGATCCTGCCCCTTTACTCTACTCTTGTGAGACCTCACCTGGAGTATTGTGTGCAGTTCTGGTGTCCTCAACATAAAAAGGACATGGAACTGTTGGAACAAGTCCAGAGGAGGGCCATGAGGATGATCAGGGGACTGGAGCACCTCCCGTATGAAGACAGGCTGAGGAAGTTGGGGCTGTTCAGCCTGGAGAAGAGAAGGCTGCGTGGAGACCTCAGAGCAGCCTTCCAGTATCTGAAGGGGGCCTATAGGGATGATGGGGAGGGACTCTTCATTAGGAACTGTAGTGACAGGACAAGGGGTAACGGGTTAAAACTTAAACAGGGGAAGTTTAGATTGGATATAAGGAGGAAATTCTTTCCTGTTAGGGTGGTGAGGCACTGGAATAGGTTGCCCAGGGAGGTTGTGAATGCTCTATCCCTGGCAGTGCTCAAGACCAGGTTGGACAAGGCCTTGGATGAGATGGTTTAGTGTGAGGTGTCCCTGCCCATGGCAGGGGGGTTGGAACTTGATGATCTTAAGGTCCTTTCCAACCCTAACTATTCTATGATACTATCTTTCCACCTTCATTCATGGGGGCTCTTTAACAGGCAATGCGTATCTTGTAACTCATGAGCGTTTTTTCCTCACACAATCCTGTAATACAGATGCTGAAAAACCCCTTGTAAGATCTGGTTTCTGCAGAAGGGACATGCAAACCACATTAGATGGGGATTTATTGTTCAGGCTTCCAGCACTGCTTTTTAGTATCGCCCTTCTTAGATGCGGGCACTAAGGGCCATAATGGGATTCTTGGTGCCAGTTCAGGAGAGATTTTCCTTGATACGATTCTTTGATTTCATGTTCCTACACTTGATTGCTTTGTTAGCATTGACAGGCTTCTGGAAAAATCCTGCCAAAGATTCCTAACCCACTTTTTAAAGAGACTCACAGAACTGAGAACATGAAAGTAAGTCTCCATGCTGTCACACCCAAATAAAGGCAAGTATTTCAGGGTATTTAAACAGTATAAACTTTTTTCCCCCCAGAGTAGATAAGCAATGGAGAATATTGACCACATCCACACATTTGCTAGCTAGCAAAATTAAGGCAAGGAAAAAGTCACCTGGCTGAGAAACACATTACCATGAGCTGTTAACAGCTCATTTTCTCCGAGAAACAACTTTTGGTTTAACTGATTTGAATTCTCCCAAATCAAAACTAAAGGCACAATAACAAGTGTTTGTAACCTGCTTCCTTCTGCCCACCAGAACCAGTCCAAGAAAAGCAAAGAAACCCTACCTGGTCTTCAAAGGCTTAGGGCAGCAGACAGTTTTAGAATAGGAACAGTCTCATTTGCTTAAATCAAACTACTTTGCTTTATATGCAACAGGTGAGGAGCATTAGAAGATGCAGAGGATTAGCTTAATTTATGATCTGAATAGGTTGGTCCACTCAGCCTTTTACAATAGGAGGAGCACCACCAAGGGCATCCTCAGAATAAAATGAAAATAACAATGTTTTCCAGTTCGGCAAATATTCATAATACAATCCTAATAATATAAAACCAAACATTGATAACAGTTGACATGCACTCCTCTCATTGTAAGTCATCAGCAGTGCAACAAGACTGAAGCGAGTCCAGAAGTCTCTCACCAAAAGAGCAGCCAAGCCAGAACACCTGCCCAGTGCAACACACAGCACAAATTGTGGGAATTGAACTTCGCGGTATTTTGGAGCTGGCAGTTCCATACAACCTTGATCTGTAAAAGTCCTGCAGGAGGCAATGTGCACAGCCCTGACACCTGCCATATTCTTAGCCCAGCAGATCAAACTCAAGAGCAGGCAGCTTTGCTTCTTTCTTTACCAAAGACAGCAAGGGCAGCTCCCCATATTTGCGCCCAGCTAGCTGTCCTTCCCTGCAACTTCAGCCAGCCTTCCTAAGCTGTGTTCCTCTTCCATCATTACCTCTTCCATCTCCACGTTATTGCAGAGTATCCAGGGAAGAGCAAACAGCAGTGCCAGTGGTTTTCCCATCTTTCCCCCCCTCCTCCTGTGACAAGCTACTCCTCCTGGGGAAAAAAAAAAGTCATCCTTTCCTCCACACAACCCTTCACATCCTCCCAGCCAGGGAGTCCCCATGGATCTTCCCAGCTAGCACCAGCCCCCCAGTATTAGCTCAGCACACCCACTGATTTATTACCTCAGACTCCAGTACTACCAGCTGCCTTCTCTCATTGCCAAGGAGAACATCAAAACAGGCAAATTTCTCCTTAACAAGAGGCATGTTTGGTTTTTTTTCCACAGATACAAAAAAAGTCAGCTTATTTGCAGCAGCATTCCTTTTGGATTGGAAGCACTCTTTTTGCCTCTAGTTGGAAGGACAGGAAAAGTTGGTGAGCAGAATACTGTCCATCTCCTAAAATGGATCAGCCTAACCAAGCTAGTTTACTTTCTGTAAACTCCCCAAATAAGCCATTTAGCAAGCATCTTAAGTTTTATAATCTGACATACTACGTATGTTATGGCAAATGTTAACCAATTCAAAAATCTAAGGGGAGTGAAGGAAGTAGGGAAAGTAAAAAAACTGTTACAGTTTCTGTATAAGGAAGGAATTCATACTGGAAAAAAAAAATGCTGCGGAAAGGAAAGACTTGACAATGCTAAAGTTACCTTTATGTTAAACTAGCAGATAGTAATGAAAAATATTCAACTTTCACAGAAGAATAAAGAGAGCTCTATGAAACAGCAGATTTGTGGGTTTGCTTTTTTAGATTTATTTAGTAGCCAGACTAAGAGTTAACCATTGAAGCAGATTTTCTTTGTTCTTACTCTTCATTTATTGTGTATATCCATTTCAATACATCTTTTTGACATGAATAACTAAAGACTTTTGAAATTCACTTATTTTCAAAACATTATACTTTCAGAATGGCAAAAACCTACTCATGAAGATTAACCATAAGGCAACTTATTTAATTATTTAATTTGAATTCAAAGAGATGTAATGCTGAAATGCTCAGAACTAACCATAATCTGTACATAAAGCTCCACATCTCATGAATGGGGCTGTGGTGTATGAAGAAAAAAAAAAATCTTGCACTTGTATCTCCATGCTCAACAGCCACAAGTGACTGCCTTAGAGTGCAACTTACTCATACTCAGTGGTCACTCGGTCACATCCAGGCAGCTGTCACAAACAAGTGAATACACAGAAAATGTACAGGCTGTATTTAATACTGGTGATACTGATCGCATTGTAACTGTACAATAAGCTTATTGTAACCAGTTTGGCAAATTCTGCAACAAATATACCAGTATAGTTGCTCCACTGGACAGCTTGCTCAAATGGACAGGAGGTATTTAGAACCGGAATCTGCATCAAATCTCTCTTGTCTACCAAGTTCCAATCCTGACTTTCACTAACCATTTAATCATTTTTTCTTTCTCTAAAACTAACCCGTGCAGTGGAAAACATTTTAGGTTTCAAAACAAAAGTAGTATCAGTTTCATTAGTCATTTAAAATGACAAGGAACTATTGTAGACAATCAACATAAATACAGTTTATTTCCAATCATTTTCCTAATTGACATGCAAACTAGTTTATATTAATAAAAGCAGAAACAGCTTGGTTAGTTTTTAACCTTAGCAGTATTGCTGTACAGCTGAAGTTACACGGGTCAATATTATGTTTTCACTTAGAGAAATGTGATTAGTTAGGCATTGAAGACTTCAGGGACTTTCCACGAAGAAGTATTTATCTATTCAGTAGCCTCTCTGCTGCACTCATCTACATGAAACGTTTTCATCTGTTAATCCCACATCTGAAGACCCTGTTCTTCAGAGCACAGCAGTCAGGAGAAAATAACTTGGAAATACAACAGATATAAAAAGATAACGAGTAACTAACAAATAATACAAGATTACAGCAGTAACTGCAGTATTTTCCTGTACTATTTCAAGATAGAATACTGAAGCCTTAAATAATTCACACATTTTAGCACTGACACAGAACTTATACAAAGTACATAAGCAGGGGGAAAGCTACTTTGCAAGAGGTAGAAAAGGTTTTATAAAATCTGAGGCACAATTCTTAACAACCTTTTAAAAGCTATCAGAAAGTTACAAAGTAATAATGACCATTATACATGTAATCTGTATAAACCTTTATTTTTACCCTTTGGAATGAAAGTATATTTTATGTACTCTCATATAATTTTTCTCTCCTATATTGTTTGAAGACTATTTTTCTCCTATAGCATGTGTGATTACAGAAGTTTTACAGACTCTCAGGAAGTCTTACCACAAGGAGCTTACGGCAAAACGAATGCATTATTACTTGACACTTTCTCAAAAGGAGCAAGGCAGTGCAAACACTGTTTGCGTAGGTTCGTGTATCAAACAGAGAAACACACACTCAAAATCCATAAAAATACAAGTTCTTTTGGTTTACTCCCCTCAATCTAAGAAGAAAATGGTTTCAGAAGTGAACTTTTTCCAAACACAAATTTCCACAAATGTAAGCTTTACAGTGCAATGGTTATACTCAAATTTTCACAATATCCATAAATCAAAATATTGAGATCATTACATCTACCATGAACTAACAGACATTCACAGAAAAATCTTAGCATCAGTTCCAACAAATGCCTTCTTTGAGCTGAAGTACGTAAGGCTTTACTGGTAACAACTTCTTATCTAAGATTTGCTTTATTCCTCTCACAGCATCTTTTTTTTTTTCCCCCCACTCATTTTACTTTTTGTCTTGGTCTTTTTCTGCATCCAGAAGTGCTGAACGGATTCCTAGCTTCTTCAGCTCTTCTACGAGATCTCCATTCTGATGCATCTGGAGGAGTATGTCACAGCCACCAACAAATTCACCATTGAGGTACACTTGTGGGATGGTAGGCCAGTTGGAATAGTTTTTTATTCCTGCATAAGAGGGAAAAAAAAAAAAATGAAAAAAAAAAGGAAGAGTATTAAAAGTTTTCTACCCTCTTCAAATACTACAGCATTTTAAACAGAATACATTGCTTCCACCTCAAAATACTACTGATATTTTCATTTCTTTCCAGTTGAGGCAAAAATTTATCTATGTAACAGGAGCACTATCAGAAAAAACTACATTACAGTTACGTTGGTCCTCACTCCAACTTAAAGATGTGGCTGAAAGATACAGAGTCAGCTCCTACACTGACTTCGAATAGGAGCTGGTAAAACGTAGTTCCTCTTTTCTCTCCCAGGAAACAAACAAATACGATTTTCCAATAGATTAAATGAGAGATATTGGAAAATATTGAGAATTGTTTACATTCAGTTATCCTTTACATTTTCCAAAGGGACTTCAAAATACTTTATGTTCTTACTGAATTAATACAGTCACATTTACTACTGCAATTTCAATTGCAAGATACATTCACCCCTCTAGGAGCCTTATGAATTTCAAATTGCTTTATCTTTCATTGCCAGACCTTACAGCCCATGGGAGGGGCACAAAGGCTGAAAGTCTCTTTGAAAGTACCCATTAAACAAAACTGAGCTCGACTCACAGTTATGAAAGTACACAAGTAAAGTTTATACTTCTTAGAAGACAAATGCAAGACCATTCAAAAATACCAACTGATTAGCTGGTATAAACCAAATCCTGACTTGCACTTAAAGATACCACAAAAAATTGTACAGAAGCAGCATTATATCTAATTTGCCACTTTTTAAATGACGCTTCACACAAAGCCATTATTTCTGTATCAGAGGAAATAGCCAAATTCTACATCTGCATGCTCTCACACCAAGCCCACCAGCACTTGCTAAAGATACCGAGTTTTGAATTAACATCTTTATACATTTTCAATACCCAATACCTGGAACTTTTCTACCAAAAGCACAGAAGCCCATATAGCAAATTTAAGCCTGCAGACAACGAAAGTGCCTTTATAGACCATCAGAGCCCATTCACCTTGGAAGTCACCCCTCTAAACAAGCAAGTACAAGCTTTAGTACAGGCTGTCAAAGTACTAACAGCAAATATTAAGACCTGTACAGCAGAAAACACAAAGGAATTTGCTTTCCCCTTAGAAAACATTTTACCCTCTAAAGAGTCTAAAGGTAAACCCAAAGATGTATGAAGTAAAAAAATGACTATAAGCAAATTATGCTTACTTTATTGGAACTCAAAAACACTTGAAAGTGTTATATAAATTTATATACATGCACAAGTGCATCATGTGTGATTGGATTATTATTTTAAATGCATAAAAGATGAAATAGAGCTAATAATTCCCCTTAGTCAAAGGGGAATTGGCCAATCCCCCCCTTAGTGTGTTTAAAAAAACTACTAAAATAGTAACTTAGAAAAAAAAAAAGAAAAGCATTCCTAACCGCAAAGTACACCACCAGCCAGGAGATTTTGACTTCAGGTTTTGTGTCTGAACACCTAATGCTTTATAAATCCAAAACAGCAAGTTTACCATATAAATCAAGGCCAAAGAGAACCCATAACCATCTAGCATAATCTCCAGCATCACTTATAACTTCTTCCTTAGTGTTTCATTACAGCCTCCATCAGTTGTCTAGATACAGTTTACAGAAACCATAAGCTTCAATGTCAGTTTGTGTTTAGCAGTGCTTGTCTTAAACACTTCTTGATGTTTGAGCACACAGAACTAGTTGCAATGCAAAACTGAGTCCCAAAAGTAAGACATGCTTAAGGATAACCCTACTCAAAGGAGCCACAGCAGCTAGAAAACAGGGTTTGGTTTTAAGATACTGCAGTGCTAAACATGAATTGAATACCAAGGGCTCTGCATAAAAAACCTACTGCTAATAAGCATTTCACAGAAATATTTTCTTCGAGGACTCAGCTGCATATATGTACCAGCTCCAAAAGCACTTTCAAGGACCTATCCGACTTCAGACAAAAACATGAATACAATCAAGATTAGTTGCTCTGTATGCTGCATTTCATGTATCAGACAAGCTGCCTTAAATGTCTTCATGCCAGGGGTCAGCCAGATTACAAACTGAACACCTCCTGAACTGGCTAGTCAACTACTAGCTTAGTAGAGCAGTTACTGTTTTAGTAGCGTTAAAGCAAGTTAGCCTGGTCTATACTTGCTGCACCCAGGATGCACTTTCATGTTGAATCCTTTGGCAGTACAAGCCACCCCAAGGGATATCCTTCCCCCTCCCTGCAGATCAGCACTCCCTGCTGGGCTTCAGAAGCCGCAGACTCTGTGCTGAACCACACTGTACAGATAAGGTTTACAGTTCGATATCTGAGCTAGCACACTTTAAAGTAACTGCAAAACCAGAATGAGTGCAAAGTGCTACTGAAAGGGGTACCTTGAACGCTCCCATTTTCCCAACTCCGCTTACTAACTAGTAGCCTCTCTCTTGCCAGCAGTAGCACTAGCAAATGAAAGCACAGACTCATGCAACCAATCTCACTCCAACCCTGCTTGCTCTAGAAAGCAGCACATTTTCATGGAGATAGTTACCACTGGAGCAAGCATGACTGTCAGAAGGCTGGTTCAAGGGTGGGAGAATGGATCGCAACCATCCTCCTGGCAGCATCCTATGCTGAGGTAATGTAAATGGAAAAAAATCCAAGGGTAAACTACCACAACAGCTCAAAATGGTTTAAACCACTATTTGTCCAGTATGTAACCCCAAGATTCTTTGCCACCTTAATGACTTGAACCAGCCTAATGCTGTCCATCAGCTGAGAGCAGCATCACTTCTGGAAGAGCCAATTTAGAGGAAGTTGGATTGTCATGGAATGTACTGAGGTCTCCTAAATCAGCTTTAATAAGGAAAGATTTGTTTCAGGGAAGCATATCCTCAGCTCAAGTTCAGATAAATCACACGAAGTACCAAAACGTATTCAGTGTAACAGATTTGAATGTTCTTTTAGGTGGAGAGGCAAGTACAGGGGTTACTTTAGTTTTACAGATTGCCATATTTAACACAGAGCAAGTTTCAGCAATTGAACTATAACAACCTGAAAACAAGGTGTTTCAATAGATACAAGAAAAAAAAACAACTAGCACTTCAGACCTGCCTGAATCACCCTCTCTCCAATACACTGCTCTTCCTACATATATGTATAAGCATACATATGCATAGTAAGTTAAGTTCATTTAAGCACATTTAAGTTACATTCAGGCCCTCAGTGACGTGGTTTAATGGTGGACTTGGCACTCCTGGGATAAAGGTTGGACTTTATGATCTTAAAGGTCATCTCCAACCTAGTTGATTCTATGATCTAATACAAAGCTGATGACCAACTCACATACAACAATCTCCTTACAGATCAATCTTTAATTGATGTATTTGGTATTTTTACAGCCAAAGGTTCAGCATCCCCTCATTAACCCCACATGCATACAATGAAGACTATGTTTACAGAGAGGGTTTAGCAAAGTGTCTCATTCTGCATATCTAACTTTTCAGAACCTGAGGCCAGATCCTGGAGGAGACTAAGAGAGTCTTCAGGCGGTCACTGCTAATCACACTTAGCAATTTACAGAGCTACAGCTTCCAGTAGCCCTGCCCCCTCCTCTGTCAGAGACTGCCATCCAACAGAAGCAGGCACATACTGGCTTTTTAGGGTGCAGTAGGTACACAGTTGAAGCAGTAAGACAGCCTCCTGGCCTTGAAAGGAGTTCTTCAACTCTTCAGCACTCCAGCACTGGTACTGGCTCTGTCACTCGCCTCACAATACAACAAACTATATCAACTCATGCACCCAGCAATGCAATTAATAAATCAAGCTGTCTCTCCATGCAGTCAAGACGAGTGTCAAAGCTGGTTTATAAGTTTACTGTAGTAAAGCGTACAATTAATAAATTCAGATAGGTAAATAAAGTTTAAAAAACTACCATGACTTGCTCAACTGCCAAAGGTAGAAGATTTACTTGAACAAAAACATTTACAAAAAAAACATCATTACACCCAAATTCCAATACTTAAGCTTTTATACCAACTATTACACCTTTGAACTGCACAGATTGGAAAAAAAAAAATCAGCCTTTCAGCTAAACGCTACTGAAAAACTCAATTAGTCAAATGATTACAAAAACAGGGGAGAAGGAAGTCACCAGATACATGCCAGCATGTGGCTTTAAAGCACTTTTTTGTATGTTCTGGACAGTAACTGTTAATGCCATACACCTGGCAAGACTAGCTACTATGTAGCCATTTTGGTTTGTTTGGGGCTTTAAAACTTTCTCAAATAACCACACAAAACCTCAACAGTCAGCTATTCACACAGAAGAGGGAAAAGAGGAAAGGCATTACAAAGGCAGAGTACTAGCTTTCTACAACTGACAAAAAATGTACATGGAATAGCTTCCACCACTTGAGTAGTAATGGGGAAAATGTGCAAGTGATTAGCATAATTTTGTACTTTATCAAAGGAACCCCACAGTCTGTGCCAGCAGGGAATCAAGAGGTACAGTCCAAGCAATTAATGAAATTTCACCACACTGTTGCAAGGGAAGATGAAATCTGTAGGGGTCTTTTCACGCAGCTCTGTATCTCTTAACTAGGCAAGGCAGTGTGGTATGAAAAGCCTGATCACCCTCCTAAACGTAACCGCATTGGGCTGATAACCAAGACGCTCTTGGACCCAGTAAGGGTAGCAGAAACGAAACGGGACATCCAGACATAGCAACCTCAAGAGCACATCTCTATGATATGCTTCAAACTCCACAAACCCTAAAACCCTGGCACATAACCCAGCAGGGGTTACAAAAGCAACCAAACACAACAACTAAGGAAAAGACAGAACACCAAACAAGAAAGCGAGCAAAACCAAGCTATGCCCGTGAGAAGCAAGCAGGGGCTGCCACAGCGCTCCGCAGGGTATCCGAGCAGCCCACGGGAAGGCCAAAGCCCTCGGGGTAACCCCGGCAAGGCTGCACAGGCCGGGGCAGTAGATCAACACTCCGTGGTTCTGGCTCTGCCCCATTAACAGCGACCTTACACACAGAGAAACAAGGGGCTGGCTCGGGTTATGAGTCAACCCCGGCAGCGGGGAAGACGGCACCCAAAGGTGACCCCCTGCAGCCACTGCCCACAGCCCCAGCCCCGGCCCGCCGCTGACCTTGGCGGAGGTCGGGGTCCTGTAGGACATCGTGGGCGCGGTAGTCCTCCACGCCGTGCAGGCGCAGGATCTGCACGACAGCGTTGCTGAAGCCGCAGAGCGGCTGTTCCGGGCTGCCCTTCATGAACACCACCACCGGGTGCTCCCGCACCAGCCGCTCTATCGCCTCCCGCGACCCTGAGCCGCCGCCGCCGCCGCTGCCCTCGGCGGCAGCGCCGCCACCCTCCCCGGCCGCATGACTCAGCGGGCGCCCAGCCCGGCACCGCACGGCGGCAGCCCCCAGCCGCCAAGCCGCACGCATCGCTCTACTCATGCCGCGCAGCCACCCACCGCTCCCACTGCCGGCCGCAAGTCACCGTCACCGCCTATTGGCGGAGACCACGAAAGGTCGCGAGCGGGAGCGCCTCCTACACATAGGCTTAGTCACCTGCCAATCAATACTTACAGCCAGTTGCGTGAAAACACAGTGAACCTCGTCCCACCCAGCAACCCTGGGGCTATCTTGCTTTTCTATTTGTGGAGGCAACCGCGCTGCTGCAGTTCCACTGGGAGGAGGACCTGTCAATCTAACGTGATCCGCTTAATCCCCGCCTCTCGCGGACGCGATTGGTCAGGCTTACCCGGCGCGGTACGTTACTCGGGAAGCTTCGGGGATTTGTGATGTGTGTGCAGCTCTTTCCGCTTCCGATTAGAGGTTGAGCTCGTGGTGGCGGGGCTTAACCTCCTGTCGGGATGGACGTATTGCATTCCCGTGCTTTCCACGAAGCCGTCCAGTTTCCCCTTGGTTCCTCTACCGACTTCATGGGGTGGCCGGGGCGCAGCCTGAGCCATGCGGCGGGGAAGGGAGAGCGGGGGCGCTTGCCGGGCGGTCGCAGCCATGCTTAGCCGCTGCTTTCGGGACTGCGGTGTGGGCAGAGCCTGGGGACTCCGTGGAGCCGTGAGGGTGGAGCGGTGGGGTTCTCTGTTGGAGCTGGGGGATGTGCTGCTGCTGCCTGCTCCTGCGGTGGGGTTTGGAGCTTTATCCCACCGGCCCTTTGGCGGTGTGGGCGGTAGGGGTGCTCCCTGGGTGAGGGTGCTAGCGGGAGTCAAACCACTGTTGAGCGGCTGAACGGAAACCGGGTAGAAGGGGATTACAAAGGGACGGGCTACTCTCAGATATTGTCTGCCTGTGCTGAGTGATGCGCCTTGGTGGTGAAGCGCGTTCAGATCTGCGAGTTGTAGCGGTGGAAGCATGTCCTTAAAAGCGCAGTGCCGCTGAGTCGGCACTTTTTGTGACCGGAGGCAGTGGAGTTTTTATATGGGTAGCTGACAAAGTGCGGGTGGGTGTGTTTCCTTGGTGGCTTTGGCTGTGCTTAGTGACCTGTTTGGCTGCCTTCTCTTGCTCGAGCTTGGTTGTTTTTTAATGTGATTTTTGTGATTAACGTGTTTTTTTTTAATGTCAAGAGGGAGAGATGAGAGCAAGACTGGTCTGGCTGGCTGTATGTGCAGAGGGGTTGGTTCAGTTGATGCTGGCAGATGCACAGAACTGGCCAGCATCAGCCAGAGAAGTGCTGAATTTGGAACGTGTCCAACTAACTATGCTCCTGAGCAGATGAAGTATTCTTTCCAAGAACTTGGAGCAAAGCATGGAGTTTCCTGCACCAGCCAGGTCCATCCTGTAAGTAGAAGAAAATATTGAAAGGTTTTCCTCTGTGCTAAACCACAGTCTTGCAAATAACAAAAGTGTATTTCTGAGTATTAATCCACATTGCAGCTCAAGGACCTGGCCTTTTGGTATATTTAATGGCCATTTGTATTACTTGCATTTGTAAGGAAAATCTTTTTTCCACCCAGCTCTGCTCATGTGAGAGTTTACAAAAGAGACCAGTTTGTTTTAAGTGTTCAGAAGGCTGTTTGCTAGTTTGTGATTTTTATGGAATACAGGTGATGCTTGAGTGACAACTTGGTTTTCATTTTCTGTGAAACCACCTTCAGGCATGACTTTTGTTGTTGTCCTTTATTTGAATTTAATTAGAACACATTCCATGGGAAATTGTGGCAAACTTTCGGTTTGTCATCCCATGTGAATAGTTTCTGAATAAAAAAGTGTTGCTGTAGTATTTGAAAGTATATCTGATGACAAAGAAATGCTTCTATTAATGAATCTAAAGGTAAAGTTCACGTACTGTTGATGAACATTGTGCATTTTGTGCATTAGTATGTTTTGTTTTCAACAGAATATCAGAAGCCAGGCATAGTCACGCTGATCAAGCCACAAAGAAGTTACTGTTTTCTGTGGTTTATATGTTGTAATTAATATGGTGTGCAATATGAAAAAACTAATCCAGTATCCAGTTCATGCCAGAGAAAACTTCAGTAAATTCTGCAAAGGAAAAATGTCTTTCTTTTTGTTGAACTGATGTGATATACGAAGACAGATGCTTAACAAGTGTGAACTGTGATAGCACAAGTTGCCTAGTTTGTAATTTTAATCTAGCAGAAAGATTCCTGCCACTTTAAGATCCTGGGGAGTCAGAGGAGAATGAAATGAAAATTGAGTAAAAAGAAAAATTTTTCTATTCTTAAAAGCACCTAAACGTCTTCTTTCAAAAAAATGTTGGGCTGTAAAAAGAACTTTGCATTACTTCCTGAATTTCATTCTGTCTATTTCTATAAGGACACTGTTCTTTATAAGGAAAATAAGGACATTAAACTGAAGTGAAATAAACCCTCATGATGATATGCTCCTTCTAGAATAACATAATCATAGTTGCAGTTTCAGACTCTGTAGTCTAAGAGGTGCCCTTGGTTGTTAGTACTCTGGGCATACCAGGATTGCAGAGAGAGCACCTGTGTGAGGAAGCCGAGGCATGCCTGTAAGAGTCGCAGCAGCAACATGCGCAATATTCCTCTAACATCACAATTCTGTTGCCACGGAGATAATGACTTACCCCATGTCATTATTGATCTGTCAACAGTAAGAGCAATTTTGCAGTCTGATATTGTTTAGCAAACTAGAAACAATTGCTGAACACTGAAAAACTGCTATAAATGTTGAGAAAGATTCTCAAGTCTGTGTATGGGGTTAAATAAAAGTACTTGAATTTAAAGTTAATCACCGTAGTTTCATGAGACTGGCCTGTGAGATAATATATTTAATATGGTCAAATGCTTTTGGAGTATGCAGTATGCAGCATTCTACTGGTGGATAAACACTTTCCCTACTTAAAAGACCTAGAACAATTAGCCAATGTACACACTAGAACCAAAGAGATAATTATTTGTTACCTCGTCCAGTCTTCTATCAGTCTAAGTGAAACTTGTTATATTTTCCAGATAATGATTTAAATCAACTGTTCAGAAGAAATATTAATGGGAACTCCTGTAAGACTCCTGACATTTTGCTGATGTTCCTGTTAGAAGACCTATCACCTCATTTTAAAAACAGTAATAAAAATGTCAGTATTCAAACTGCAGGGCTAAAATGCTAACAGTCAAACATTAGGTTAGTTCCAGGCATCCTACTGGTGAACAGAACTACTAGTTATGAATTGGTGGTTTGAGGTTATTGTACAGTGCAGAACAAGGTAGGCATCTAAGAATGATACTGTCAGCAGAAAGATTTTTGTTTACTTTGTTTTAAAAAACGGGAGGGCTAACTTAGCTGATGAGAAAGATGAGAAGTCCCATTTCAGCATATCAGAACAGGACAACTCTTTGTGTCCAAGTCAGATATCTGTCCGTCTTTCTGACTTTGTGATAGTGCCTGGAAAGAAGTCCCTTATTGTGCCTTAACAATTGAGCTCTACTTGGGTGCGTTTATTGTCTTTTGAAGCTTTTTAGTGGGATGGCTGCAGCTGTTCTGCATGCCAGGTCAATAATTTCCAGGTAACACGTGGCAGCACAAATATATCCTCAATTTTGAGAGCATTAAGAATGCTTAAAATGTACTTACAGTGCTGGACTGCATAATTAAAATTTGTATGGGATGCCTAAATTGTGAACACTGAAGAAAAGCCTGTGGAAAGTTCCTGGTTATTTTGAAGATGTGCTAGTTTGAGAAGTTGTGCAACAAGCAGCAGAAATGTAGAAGTGATGCAGGACTTTTACTGGCATAGAAGCTCAGGTCCTATGGGAAACTGATGTTTTGGAATCTGAGCTGTATCTGACTTCCAGTTTTGGATCTCACCTGGAGACCTATAAGTAAATTTGTTTCTGAACTAGATGGCTAGTAATATTTCTAGATTTACAGCATTAACTTTAAGATACAATAGGTGAAGAATATGTACAAAGTAACCTAAGTCAGTTTAACTGATGGGTGATCTACATGATCTAAGGCAGTTTTTTGACTTGGATCATGTAAGGATGCCTTTGGCAGAAAGAGGCCATGCTAATAATCACAGGAAAAATGTGAGTCCCACATTTACCAAACAGAATGAAAGATCATGCTGAAGTTTGAACATGGACCTTTAAACAAGACACTCTCCAAGCTTGCCTCTCATTAAGAGATTGTGTATACGCCTTTTTGTAGTAACACTCTGCTTTGTCAGTTGTGAAGCTCTCCTGGAACCAGGACATAGAGTAGAATTATTATTTGGGATAAGCAGGGTCCTTACAACTATTCTGACTGACCAGAATCTTAGATCCTTGTTCCTTACTTGCAGATGGTAGTGGTGCTTCAGTTTTTCAGTATTCCAGAGGAAGCATAATTTTATATACTTTTAACTTTTATGCTGAGCTGAAAAATGTTACATTTAATGAAAATACCTCTTGCCTCTTTTTACCCAGGAGCTATGGATGTCAAAATCTTTCACGGGCCTAAAAAAAACCTGGGCAAAGTCAAGAAATAAATTGATCTGCTAAATATACAGATACTGTTATGGGATCAAGTGTTGAGCCATAGAAAGCTAGGGACCAGGATTATAACCATCTGCATGTCCTGTTCCTTGCTTCCTGTGCATTCATGTTTGACCAGTATAACAGAAACAGGATCCTGGGTTCTGAGTTTCTGATTTAACATGGTATGGTAATTTGGACAAATTGTAATTTATTTAAAATATGGGAAATATCTTCTGGTCTTTCATAACTGTGGGAAAACCCCAGGGCACACTTTGCCTGTAAAAAGGATTCTTGTGCCCCAGTTAAGTCCTACTGGCATACTCTTGTGTATAGCTAGGATGGCAAGAGTGCTTTTGTCAGCTTAGCTTGTTTTAAGAATGTGCAGTTGCAGTGTGGCAAGAAAAGCTCCGATTAGGTGTTTCATGCCCAAGAAGGGGCTCCCATAGCTCAGGTCTGTTGGCTGGTGAGCCTGACTTACCAACCTCACTAAAATGGCAGGCTGTAGTAACT